GTGGGATTTAATTATGATTATTCTATGGTGGTCCGAGATTCATTCTAAATTAAACACTGTCTAACAATTCTTTAAAATAAATAAATAAAAGAGAAACAAGTTTTATTCTAATGGAGGAATATATCAGAAATCTCGTCACCTAGGTTGAAAAAGATAAATTAAAGCTTCATTTTGAACTGAAAATTCTTCTTATATATCAACTCGCCCCCAATCCCCACTATGTAATATACATACAAATTCAAACCACTAATTCTTTTATCAAAGTTTGGAAGAGGCAATCGTTTGAATCACGATTCTCTTTTATCATAAGAGAGGTATAGCACCGTATTTAGTTGATAAAAAATATTCTTGTTTTTTTACATATATATTTATGAATTATTAGATGAAGTAATCATGAGCATTGAGTTGATTTAAAACCTCTAGCTGGTGCTGATATATATATATATATATATATATATATATATATATATATATATATATATATATATTCATGATTACTAAAAGATTAAAGATGAAAAATAAAATCATCGACAAAAGTAATTTGATATAATGGTTAATCCTGATATTTATTCCAATTCTTTTTCTGATCAATTTTTTTAGTTTGAAATAGTGATTAGATATTTGATGCATTCTTTAAAAATCTTTTATTTGATTCCTATCAAAACGACACATTTTTCTGAATTTATTACTAATAAGATGACTACACATTTTATCATATTTAACATGCAATCATGCCACGTTAGCTTTTATTAATGATAATTACCGAAATGAAATGGATTAAAAGTTTAATGGTTTTAATATAAATTTTAAAAGTTTGATAACCAAAATGCAAAGGCTCTAAAAGATTAGGGACTAGAAGTAAATTTTACCCTATAATTTATCCTAGGGGAATCTAATATATGATTATGAATTCTTAGGCCCGTTTGGTTCAAGGAATGTTGTATTACCGGGGGAATAAAATCCTCATTCTCCCGTTTGGTTGGCCGGTAATCCCATTCCTGGTAATCTTTTATTATCAACAGTGGATTTTTGGGGTATATTACCAGGAGTGTGATTACCTCCCTTCACTTAGGTATTGTTAGATTACCGGCATTTTGGACTAAAATGCCCTTAAATTTTTTTCCTCAAAAATATCATTTTTCTGTCGTTGAATAATAAAAATTCTACGAAGGTTAAATTAAAAAATTATCCTTAAATTATTTTAGATTTACAAAAAAAAATTATAATTAAAATTTTAAATGAAGTTCAGGGGTTAAAATAAAATTTTACCCTTTCATTAAACCTATTTATCTTTTCAATTTTGTAAAAAAAATTATATAAATTTTATGAATTTAATTTTTTTAAAGAAAATACATAAATTAATTATAGTAATATTATAATATAATTCAACTTGTTAAAAAATAAATATATAATGAGGACAATTTGGTCAAATATACATTCCAATAATCTTTTATTCCTTTAACCAAACACGGTAATCTTACATTCATACTAAACCAACCAAACACAAAATATAACATTCTCAGTAATCCTATTCTCTTGTAATCTTTTATTCTCACTGGTAATCTTACATTCTGTGAACTAAATGCACCCTTAAGGTTTACATTAAAAGAATTTAAATTAAATTATTAATTTACTTTTTCCTTTATGTCAAGGATAAGACCCAAGATTAATTTATCTTATACATTTTTTTAATCCAATGGTTTATATATATATATATATATATATGTATATACAAGGTAATATCTATTCAAATATAACTCTCAATTATTTGACATTGAGCACTCACAAGTCATACTTGTAGTATTTATAGTGCTAAAACTCGTGACCTAAGGAATAATAACAATTATTTTACTATTGATGCCACTCGGTTCGTGCATCCAATAGTTTATATTTAATATGTTATCATATACAAATCAACTGTCAAGCTTAATTCAATTGTTAATAGTCAAAATAGAACCTTCCTAACCGTTTAGTGACTCAGATGGTAGTTTACCCAAATTTTTGATGACTTAAGAGACCATTAAACTATTAAAATAGTTTCAATTGTATTATCAACTGTTGATGTGGTAAGATTTTTGTTGTTGCATATTTTATTTAAAAAACATCACAAATTATAATAAAGATTTACAATTGTAATTGTAAATTAAGCACATAATTAGTAATTTTTTTATAATTATTGAAACAAAACTAACAATTTAATCGACAAACGAACTATAAAAAGAGATTAAACTATTGAAATATTACTGACAAACCATAAATCAGACTCGATCGACTTGAAAAGCAATCCGCAAAACGCAAATCGGGTATCCAAATCGAATATGAAGTCCAAAGCAAGGAAGATCAATAAAATATCAGATAAACGCTATATTGATCAGTCGTGACGATGCCAACTCAACCCTTAAAAAAGATAGATGAAGAAAACGACCAAAGAACCGAAAAACATGCCATAAAGTAGGGGTGAATGTATGTGTATCCCTAGGGGAGCCACTGCACATCCGTCATTTTTTTTAAAAAAGTGTTAAATTTAGTTTAATTAGTTAATGAGAATAGGGGGAAAAGAAAATGTACATATACAAATTTTTTAGAATAAAGTATAGAAATTTTGGACCCTGTTTTTTAATTTTTAGTTCTACCACTACATAAAGGAAGATGAAACGTGCAATACAAAAAAATTTATTAAAAATAAAAAAAGAAACGAAAGATACTATATAAAAAAGAAAAATACAATAAAGAATATAGACGATCGATAATCAACATTAAAATTAATGTCGATGTCGATAAACAAAAACAAAAAAAGAAAAGAGATGATCAACACACCAATAAAATAAATAAATTTTAGAAATTTCAAATGTTTGGTCGAAACTAACAATCAAGTATTGTATTTCTGGAATGATATTATCGTGGAATGCTTGAGATTTTATCTTTATACCTTTTAACGGGTCCAATAAAATATCTTGAAGAAAAGAGTATGATTAAAAAATCATGTAAGATTTTAAAGGTTCTCTGTTAATTTTAAGTGTACGCCTCTACATTTGAAGTTACGTCACCCTAAATGCTCTCTGTTAATTTTAAAGGTTCTGATCGATCACATAATTAGAAAATCTTTCAATGAAATAAATATAATACAGCATATTGTTTTTAAAATTTCCTTAAAGCATTTTTTTAAAAGAATCCTCAATTCTTAATCCGAACATTGCAGGACACTTGAACTTACTGAGGTTTGTTGTAATCTTTGTTATCCTACAACTAAGATTTCCCCTGTATTATTATAATTATTATTATCAGCCACAAAGTTGAAATATGCATATTTAAGACAAACTCAACAACGACATGACAGTAATGGCGACTAGATCAGATCAACGTCGACATAATATGATAGAACGTATTGCTAACGTGGAGCCCATTGGGTTTAATGGTGAATAATTGACGTTGAATGGGTCACTAATAATGATTCATAATCATAAAAAAGGGTTTAGCTAGATTTATGACAATTTTGGTGACAACATCAAAAGCCTAGGAACATTTGGGTGACAAAATCTCCAGCCAAAACACTATGACAATTCTGGTGTTAGCTGTTGACCACCACCACCCTATATTGAGCCAAAAATAATGAAAATAGGATGATATGAAAAATCTATTGTACTCTCTACGACAAAATTAATTCCCATGTAAAAAAAAAGGGAGGTAAACAAGTCCCAGATTCCATGGCATTTATTCGTCTGTTGGAAATGCATTTCCATAATTTCAATGGTACCTGCCCATTAAATGCCGAAGAAAAGAAGCACCACCCATTGTGGAATGTACCCATTCCATATTTTATTTATTATTTTAATTTTTTAGTATTGAAAACTAAATTTAGATTTATTTATACGTCTTTTACAAGAAAAAAAAAACTGACTTTGAATATTTGAAGATAGGTAGAGATTCTGATGTTTAATTCGAAGTAGAATATTTGGAGGTCTTAACTAAGAATCTATTAGTGCATTATTATGATGCAAAGGGACCACTTTTGGAATTCTTACATCAACTAAGGTACACAATCAATGGGTCAGCTTAAAATAATAATTTGAAGGTGCAGATTTCCATTCTTACAGAATTTGTTAATTTAAATGGAGAACAACGAGGCATTAAATTATGAAAAAGAACGAACTTCGAGCGCTTAGATTTCTATATGGGGACATGGTACATATACATGTGCATTGAGAAGATCGAAGGAGAAATAATGCGAAGCACTTTTAAGATCTCGCAAAGGCATCAAAATAGATGGTGTGGGACGGGGGGAATAAATTAAGGTAGATGGCTAGATGGAGACAGCTTCTCTGCATAGTTACAGATAGTATATGATATTTTCTTGTGCATCATTAATATTTTAAGGCATCGGACGTCTCAAATAGCCTTTTTGGCATTCAACCAGCTCCTAGAAGCAGCAGCAGAGCAACATTGTGTGTGAAAAGAATTTACCTAATGATTTTATTTTAGCTTAAATCATAGCATATATATATATACCTTCCAAATTTGAGTGGAGGGTTGCAAAATTCAACCACCAAAGAAATGGGACGAATGGTTAATGGATCATAACTTAAACCATAAAGATATATGGTGTGTGAAAGAAACAACGTATGGGCTGCCTCACCTGCGCCACTCTTTTTCCACCAACTTTCGAGTAATAATTAGGTTCATTTTAATAAAAAGAAGAAGAAAGCATGCTCCTGATCAGATCAAATGCTTGAAGGTCTCATCAACTTACTATTACTATTATTCTCTTTCTATAATCTGGGTGGATAGTAGGAATGCGTGGAAGTTCATTAGCTCTAAAATCCATTCAAACCCATTCTTTAGCTTTAAAAGCACTTTGCATCTCTTGTTTTATCTTAAAACTAATTGATGAAATCATATTTGTCAATTAATTTATATGTTAAGAGTATCACTTGTGAGGTGCTATATGTCGATAAAATTCAACTACTAAGCATGTAATTATGAATGAAACAGTGGTACATGAAGAGCTAAACCTCCAATCAGTAATTGCAAACGAACCACCTTGGAATGTTCATTCAGCTGCCAAAGTTTCCAAATGCCCTCTCAAGTAGCTCACATATCAATCAATAAGAGATCATTTTCGACATGAAAAACCTTGGGGCGTTTCACCAAAATCACCATCTTCACCTTCCCTCACATATCCATCCCCTCTTTTCAGTTTTGTAGCATTTATTTCGGAGAATTTACTCGATAGCAAATCATGTTGTATGCATCAAGCCGGTAGAGAACCCTCACTCTTCTTCTTCAAAGTCCATGAGAAAATCAGTCAGGTTCTCAGAATCATCCACAGCCTCTTCCAAGGACATTGGATCCTCCTTTTTCGGCTTATCCTGCACAGTTAAGGAATAATGTATTACGAATTTACAATTTTGCCTGAAGCGGACTGTAAGAGAATGAGCAAGTAGAATTTTAAATCGTGCTAGAAAACCTCCCAGTCAAACAAAAGAATGAAAATGAACAAGCACCTTTGACTTTCGAAGCTGAGGTGTAGATTTCAGAACGCTCCAATTGCGAGTGATTTTCTCCTCTTCTCCATCACCACCATCTTCACCGTCATCATCTTCATCCTCCTAAAAGTCAAAACTACAACATGAAGCAACTACTTCCAAGTATGAACAAATTAATTAAATAAATAAAGGATGAAAGCAAAAACAGAAAAGACAATTAGACTCACTTCATTTTCACCGATATCAACAGCTCGAGCCATAGCATCATCTATATCTGTCATCTGCAGTAGTTGCAAGTTATCAATAACTAGTTGAAATCACATCTAGTGATGCTTCATTTGCTTCAACAGTCTTCTTATGCACCAATAATCCAATTAAAATATGAAATCTAACTCAACAACCAATAAATAAGTAATGTAACATCAAATAGTTTTGGCTACCAATAAATAATGCAACATAGATGGTGGAAATGGCATAACTGGATTTTATTGTTCATTCCATTCAGAAAAGGTTAGTGCATGATGTTTATACTCATTTTTTAATTACCTCAAGTTCTTCAGTCTTCTCCTTTGCCAAAATTTTCTCAAGCTCCTCCCTCGATATGATTTTGCCATGCTGATCAAAGGAAGGAAAAGTAAGCACTTGACAGAGGCAATAATAAATTGGGAAAGAAACTTAAGTACGTTACTATTGCTTTAGGGAATAATAAATAGGAAAAGTAAATTTCAAGTAAAGAAAAAATAAGCACTCCAGAAAAGAGAGAACACAAGCTTTAGTAAAAAAAAAGGCCTCGATATTTAACCAAGTCAGTCTTGTGCTTGAATCATTTTAGGCTCATAAAACAAGATAAGAAAACTTTTCAGGAGGTAAATGTTAAAATATTTAGTTAAACTTTACTTTTGCAATTCTCAGACTCAGCCTACAAATCAGGCTGCTTTTTTTCTAATTTTTTCCAGCAATCAATTTGAACAGAACTTATGTTCTCTATTCATTCAAATTCTCATTTTCTTTTTTCTTATAATATTTATACAAGAAAGTAAAGAAGTCTAAATTAAGAGAGTATATAAGAAAAGAAAACTTAGTTACGAGAACCTAAGCCCCCAACTATCTGCCCCACATAGCTCCATTTAGAACTACAGGTTACGAAGCTACATGAGCCTATTTAATTATTGAAACTGACCTGCAAAAATAATTCAGCATTTTAAAGGATTTACCAATCATAAAATAAATGAAACATTTCAAGTAACTAGAACAAAATCTGTTTATTCAATTTGAGGGAAGGAGTAAAAGAATAGATTTAAACTTAGAAAATCAACCTCCTTTAGATAGGCCAGCATATTTGGTGTCGGTTCATGAAAATCTGGTCCTCTATAATCAATCACTTCATCTGGATCTTGAATGTAGTTCACGGTTGGGTAAACGGGATCTCCACCCCATACTGCAAAGACCAACAGATTTGTCAAAATGCATGAACCAAACATAAACCAAGAGGATGGGAACGGGATTTTGCTCCTTGCCAGTGATTCTCTCTTAATAGTTTAGCAGGCAGAAGGAGAAAATAGGAAGGCGGATCACTAGATCAGTATCATTACAACTACCTACAAAAGTGAATATTATTTGTGGTTAAACTTTAGAAGTTGCACTCCAAAATATCATGCCTACGTGTTGCAAACTTGTAATCTTATGTTTCAGATTAATGATTCAGCTCATCAAAGAGAGATTGAAACCGAAACCATCTCAGCTCATCAAAGGGAGACTGAAATCTTAGTACTTGTGGAAAGAGACAAAATCTTTTACGTTTTTTTAAAATTTCTGAATCTGATCTCAATTTTAGTTATGCAAATCAGTCTCTTCAAATAGAGGCTATATGCCTTTTTTGAATAAAAGACTAACTAAGCAAGCAATCCTACTAAGGATACTAATAAATAATCTCCTAATAATTATCATAGTAATAAACCGATTCCTGATAATGCAAAATAATTAATGCTTAGCCATAACACTACATGTAGAGGCGAAGAAGCATGAATCTAAAAAATCCAGATTCATATACAAATGCAATCCAAGATCAGAGTGAGAGAACACAAAAGAAAATTTCATCTTCTATTCTAAGACTTGAGTGAAAAAGTATTTCACAAGAGAAGAAGCATGAATTTAAAAAATACCGCTTTCATATACTAATATCCATCAATATGCATCATAAATCTAACCAGGGAAGTCGAAATTTACAGGCCACATAGAGCTGCCAGTATTTCAGAAAGTATATAACACTATAATCTTCCTGATAAAAAAATAAAATATAGGCATTAAGAAAAACTTATCAGTACAAGGTACATACTTTGCTTTATTTGATCTTCTCGCATTCGCATTGCTAGAGGATCCCTTCGGATACGGACATCAGTGCCCATCATAATCCGGTATTCTCGATCTGTTTGATGAGAGAACATTTCAATCAGTTGAGCATTTTCATCTTCACCAGTCTCTTCAAAATGTTTCTGAATAGCTTCACGTGAAGTGTCTCTTTTCCATGCTTTCACCCATTCAGAGTAGTATGCCATTGGACCAATTCTTTCTAGTCTTTCTTGTTCAGCTTTTAGCCTGCGGAAATCAGCACCTGGCTGAGTATAAAAATGTTCTTTTTGAAGACATATTTCAAAGTTTTTGCCATTCACAATCAAGATGCAAAATTGATGCATTAAAAAAATATGAGAGAAGAAAAGGCACAGCAAGCACAAATGGAACTCAGATACTCGCCACTAGTTTACTAGCATCTACAAATTGTTGAGTAAGAAACATCCTCCTTTTGTACCACTTTTTACCTATTTAACTTCCACACTCAGCAGTTATTCACTTTCATTCATTTAACAAATCATATCTCCTAATCCTGTTTCAGCCTTCGGATTTTAATAGGATAGAGAACAAAAGAGAGGAAGTGAAAAATCCAAAAGCATCGAATACAGGTTACACCTTTCTTCCTTGAAAAGATGGCGCCTAGCTCTGTAAAGGGAAGTTTCAGTCAATGTTGGATGTTCACCATAGAGCTTCACTTGCCCAGTCTCAGCCATTGCTTTCAGAAAAACCTACAAAAATAAGAGAATTTTTGTTGTCAGAGTCAAATATAGAAAATACTGCCTCTGTTTGAGAAGAAACTGAAATGTATACGAAATCAGTACGAATATATATGATCATGGAATGAGACTGCTTTAGGTTTCAGCACAAAGTAAAGAAATACAACATGGCTTACATGGAAAACACTCAAAAAACAATTTTACATGGGAGAAATGCAAATAGATACAGAGCTACTGGTGAATGGACTCGAACAAGAATCAATCATAGTTCGAAAAGTCAATCCATCTCTTTTGGCAACATCTGTATTAGGGGCCAAATCTGTGCCCTTAATTTGGGTTATTTAACTAAGGCTTATATTATGCTTTTATTTTTTTTAATAGGTTTATTGATTATGTTTCTCATTTCAGTTGATTTATTTTCATTTTAGGAATAGCTTTCCTCTTCATGTAATGAGTTGAGTCCTTATCTAAAAGGACGTATGAAAGAATAAAACCATAAGTCTGAATTTTATCAAAAAACCTAAAGAGATTTTGGACTCTTTTAACGAGTCCTAAAGTTTTAATCTCCCTTTGATGAGCTGAGAGGTCTCGGTCTTCCTCCAATTAGCTGAATCACTAATCGGAAACACAAGATCGCAAGATCGTAACAATCTGGAGGATATTCATGTTGAATAGCATAAAGGAAAATCATTTGGGAGTATGAACTTTGCCTTTAGATATCACTGAGGTCGGACCAAATGGTCCAAATTCAAATCTTTTAAAGCGCATGTTTCACTGCATGAAAACGCATGGCAACCAATTGTTTCTCTCTCTCTCTACACACACACACACACACACACACACGTCCCCTCCTCAAGACACAGGCACATAAAAAAATTGGACTCCGTAGATAGAATTGAATGCAATTTCCATTGAAGAGAAACTTAAAAAAGAATTTTTTGCACTAACCGTTTCAACATCAGGTCGTCTCCTTTGCCATCTAGACCATTGTTCTTTTTCTGGTTTTCTCCAATTCCACCATAGTTCTTCACTAGTAAGTGGTTCCTCCATTGGTTTCTTCACTTTTGGATCAATAAATGGATGAGGGCGTCCAAATTTCTTGTCTAATTCATACCCACTTTCTTCATCTTCTTTAGGTTCTGTTTGGTAAATGACATAATCTGATGAGGAGCCTTTAGGATCGTCCACTGTGTCCTCAACAATTTCAGGCACGACAGTTTCAGTTGGTTCAATGCTCACATGAGAAGATTGAGAAACAGCTAGCGTTTTATACTTCTTCCTCCTACTTCCCGGACTTTTTCCATAAGACGGGGATCCAGTCGAAGTTCCAGTTGGTTCAGGCGCCCTGGCAGCCCTAACTCTACTAGCAGTGCCTTCAGGCCAGTATTCCTCCTCTGGAATACTAGCACGAGCACCAGATGCTGGTTCAAGCTGCCCAGATGTTGAGTCCATATAGCTATAATATGGAGGACGTTCAACAGACACATGCTCGATTGGCTCATCCTTCTTCTCACACTTAATGCAAGGAAATAAATTAGCTCTCTTCAACACTTTATTCAAGCCAGTTCTAACTTGCAATATTCCAGCCGGAAAATAACCAATCGACGATGTCTGGATATTTCACAAACAATAGGGGCAATAGTAAATGAATCTAAACAGAACAAAATCAAACAAATCTCACTGAACAAAACTGCAAATTTCGAACATTTTACTTCCTAGGACATGGAAAAAATATGCAGACAAAAAACAAGAAAACACAAAGTTAAACAAATAGTGCACTTTAAGGGCCGTTTTACAATAAGTTCAGTCCTTTATACTATTTCCACACCATAAACAAGTAAACAAACAAATTAAACTGAAAAGTTCGAATTTATCAAGCTTTTAGATTTTGATTCTGGTTTCAATAACCAAGCACAAGATTAAAGCAGTGTACCAACCACATGAATTAGTCACATGAAAGAAGACAAAACTTTATTACTATATTTCTATCAGAATTACATGATTCAAAGTTCAAACTCAAGCAAATAACATAAATATCATAAAATTCCCACATCAGAAGAAAGGAAAATAAACCTGCAAGAGACTGTAGCCTGGTTTCCCAGCAGTTACGCATCTATCTGCCAAAATCCCCCCAGGAAAGAAATTCAATTAAATGTAAACAAAAATTCTAATATTTTTACCGAAAAGGGAAAAAAGGTACCTTTACACAGAAAGTTAACTGATAAAGATGACATTTTCAGTTCAACTTAATACTCGACATATAATTTGAAAAGAGAGAGACGGACTTAATCTATTTGGGCACTGAGAAAATGAAGAGGCATCAGCTGGGAAAGTGTGGTTTTGGTTTGGTTTTCGGGGTTTAGCTTTAAGGCTCGAGTACAGGGCGAGTACATGTAGCGGATAAGGCTCGTCAAAACGATTTGTTAAAAAAAATAAAAAAATGCATTATCCTATAATTAAGGATAAATAAATTTAAGAAATAATAAGTTAACATTGGGTCCTATGGTTCTCACTAACTCAAAATATAGGACATAAGGTTAGATTTAGAAAAAAAGAATTACTATATTTTTTTATATATAGAAAGTCGTTAGTTTTATTAAAAGTAAAAAAATATTTAAAATTACAATGAAGATTACCAAGCATAACTATAAATCTAAAATATAATTATGACATTTTTCTATTATTATTGAGACAAAAACTAACTATCCATATCACATAAGAACCAAAAAAGGAAAATGTTAAAAAACTTAACCAAAGAATTACTATACTTGATTAGGAACATTAAATAGATACGATATAATGTATGGTGTAAAATTCAATGGTTGAACTTATAAAATTTTATGAAGGGAAAATTTTATAAAATTTTTGGGTTAAAAATATATTTTTAATAAGAATACAAATAAAATATTTAAAATATATAAAAAATTAAAAATCTCTCACCTAGGGGTGTTCAAATTAGGGTATCTGGATTTTCGGGGTACCCGAATCTTTGGGTATTTGATTGGTCGTCCGTGTCCCGACCCAAATGTTACGGGTACTCGGTAATCGGGTACCAAGAATTCGGATAATCGGGTACATGAATTTTTATCATTTTCAAATTAATAATTGAAAAAACATACAACTTATATTATTAAACAAAATATTATATTAATTATTAGACATACAACTGTTGGGTGGGTGGTTTTTTTATTAGTTTAATTTAATATATAAATTATTCATAATTAAATATAATTATTATATATAAAAAATAAATGTAACCGGATACTCGGGTAATTGGGTACCCGGAAAAATGTTATTTTGTGACCCGGGCTTGACCCAAGAAATGCAGGGGTCGGGTTAACCGATCAGATAATTTTTAAAAAATAATTATTCGGTTATTTTAGTTCGGATCAGCATGTCAACGGGCGGGATCAACCAGATCGGATATTTTTGAACACCCCTACCGTCACCTACCTCTCTAGTTCCATCCCTTGAACAAAGCATATTATATTTTAGTAAATTTCGTTAAGATGATGGTTTTATGTTTTAGGAAATTTAAAACTTATAAAATAGTTATTAATTTATCAAATTGTGACATTAAATTTATTGAAATATTATGAAATTTTACATTATAATCCATAAAAATATGAAATTTATAAATTTATATGTGACTGATAGTGATCATTTTATAATCATTTGAAAAGTTGAATGACCATTTGATAGATTTCTGTCTGAAATTGCTTAATGTAATGAAGAAAAGTGAGTGAGACAAACTCTGATTTTTCTTTTTCCTGATAAATGTGACAGTGTTGGGAAGATTGGTATTGTCTGGCATTGTACTGCTTCCAGTTCTTCTATCCATTGCTGTAACTGATGATGGTGTAAAGAAGAACGCACGTAGTACAAGCAATGGAACTTTCAGTGACCTAGACTAGTTGTCAATGGCAAATATTCAAGTAAGCTATATATATCATTCTCGTGAACTACAAGCAATGTTGCGAAGGACATCTTTATTGTTTTTTCCGACCTATTACAACTACGATGTCATTATTGTGTTTTGATATACAAATGTCCGTTTGTTGTTGTCTACGTAGGAGAAGAGTCCAAGGTTGTGGGCATTCCTTGTGGCCATCTATTGGATCTCTCTTGTCACCTATTTCCTTTCCTTTCATGGAAGGCTTATAAACATGTTTCTGCACTAAGAGCTACTGGTCTAAAGTCTGATGAAGTGAAACCCGAGCAATTCGCTATTCTTGTTAGAGACTCGCCGGATGTTGCTCCGGGTCAAACTCGAAAGCAGCAGGTTGATACATACTTCAAATCCATATATCCTGACACATTCTACAGATCAATGGTGATCACGAATTACAAAGAGGTAAGATTATGGTAATTTGCATCTCCTTTTAGTCTAACCTTTTCGTTCATCGTTGTTTGATTTTAAACAAACATCTTGTTGAAATGTAGGTTGACAAAATCTGGGGAGAGTTGGAAGGGTTCAAGAAGAAGCTCACGTGTGCGGAAACAATATATGAAGGTCAAGGCACGAGACCGACCAACAAAACTGGCTTCCTTAGTCTCTGTGGTAAACAAGTAGACGGCATCGAGTACTACAATGAAAAGATAAAGGAGCTGGCACAAACGTTGGAAGCTGAACAAAAGTTGACCCTCCGAGAAAAGCAGCAAGGATCTGCTTTGGTTTTCTTTACCAGCAGGGTGACTGCAGCCAGTGGCGGATCCAGAAATTCAAGAACGGGTTCCAACGTTTTTCTCGTAGGGTCAACTTTTGGATGTTCGGTGGCTGCTGTTGATCCCTAGCAACGTTGTTCGGTGGCTGCTGTTGATGTGGATGCACTTAAGACAGTATTGGAGGCATATCTTCCACAGCTTGCGCTCATCATATTCGTGGCATTATTACCGAAGCTTCTATTGTTCCTCTCCAAGACAGAAGGAATCCCTTCTGGGAGCCATGTCATAAGGGCAGCATCTAGGAAGTACTTTTATTTCATCGTGTTTAATGTTTTCATCGGTGTTACTATTGCTGGAACTTTCTTCAGTGCATTTAAGACCATTCAAAAGAAACCTGACGCCATACTTGAGATACTGGCAAAAAGCCTCCCTGGGAATGCAACTTTCTTCCTTACATTTGTGGCTTTGAAGTAAGCCTTCAGCCTTTTCTTATTGAAATTGCTTTAAATGTGTGATTTTGGTTTCATTGGGTTATTGGTTGACAGGTTCTTTGTTGGTTATGGGCTTGAGCTTTCTCGAATAGTGCCTCTTATCATATATCATTTGAAGAGGAAATATCTTTGCAAGACTGAAGCTGAGCTAAAAGAAGCTTGGTTTCGCGGAAAACTTAGCTATTCCGTTAGAGTTCCTACTGACATGCTTATCATCACCATTGTTCTGTGCTACTCAGTAATTGCTTCTGTGATCATACAATTTGGAGTGCTTTACTTTGCCTTGGGTTGGCTTGTTCTCCGGAATCAAGCATCTCTCTCATTTTATTATATTCCCTTTCCATTCTGCTTATAATTATCTTTCTCACAAATCACAATTGAAATTCATTTTCATTGTACTTATTGGTTTTAGCTGTTCATATAACACATCCTCAAAGTTTATGTCCCAGCATATGAGAGCTTTGGAAGAATGTGGCCTCACATGCATACTCGAATCATCAGCGCCCTGTTTTTATACCAAGCTACCATGTTGGGATACTTTGGGGTGACGAAATTCTACTACACTCCCATACTGGTTCTGCTACGGCGCTACAAATATCGTCTCTCGCCTTCGTCTTCGTCTTCATCTGTAGGAATAAATTCTATGGGGGGTTTTTGTCACACAGCTCTTGAGGTCGCTAACCAAGAATCGAAAGAAACTCCTCATATGGAACATATATTCAAATCATTTATCCCACCCACCAAGCTTGATCTCCAAGAGATAGAAGACCAGCAATTTGAAGATGCTTTTTCTCAAGTTTCAAGATCAGAATCATTTGTTTGATGTACATTGTTTTTGTGTTTCCATCTTCCCACTGAGGTGCCGTGTTTGTCTTGAATCACAAGTCCTTCAAGTTATATTTGTCTGTTGATAACATGGTTTAAGGGAACCTTGCTGTCAGAGCGTGCGTATGTAAACATTATTACTTCCACTGGATCTTCTGCTTGAACTTATTCAATTAATTCTTGTTCGTGTTTAATGGAAATTTGTGGATCGGTCACTTTTAGAAGAATGTTACAAATAACGTTTCTCTAGTAGGCTCAAATCAAATCCAATAAAAAGTGCTAAACAGAGAACTCTTTTACAGATCAGATGTCCAACAAATAAATGAATCGTTGAATCTTATATCAACAGAAGAAGTGGGGGGAAAACAAGGCTCAAAATTGACTTTGGTTTCAGTTTTTTGAATGGAAATCTTTCTCAAAGAATCAACATTTAATCTTAAAGTGAAGGGTCGTGATTGGATCCAATGCTAAGTGGAGAAGGAATGTGTTCAGGTTGTCTTCCTGGTTTAACACATCTGCCATATTGGTTTAGCACAAGTCCTTTGAATGGCTTCTGGTACCAAAACTCCTGGATCTTTAACTCCTTTATCAACATATCGGTTGTCTTGTTAACCAAGGCAACATCTCTTCTTGCATTCCAACAGAATTTCGATGTCTTGCTAATGTATCCATCTAGCAGATGCAGATACGACTCCAAATTATGACTCCCCGTATAATCCGGATCACGCCTCAAATATGGAGACATGAGTACATTGAGCTTTAACTGGGTTCCGACATGCCGGTAAATCCATTTCAATCTCCTTGTCACCGCTGTGAACTTGTTGAGAATGGTGTTGAGAATGAACCCTGGCAACTTTGGGACTATATCTTGCTTGACAACAACCCTTGGTGTCTTCACTCCTAGATCTCTGAGCTTCTCCTTGAAATGTATGTTCCCAACTCTTGGTGCACCAAAAGAGATGACACTGATGAAGAGATCGGGGAAGTACATCGCAGCGTCATCGGCATTGAGGAGTGCCAAGGCACCCCCGAGGCTATGGCCACAGATTGTTAAGCTAACTTCCTCACCTCTGTCTCCAAAAAAGTTAACAAGCTTTCGGATTTCTTCCATGACTTGTTCCGATGCACTCAACTTCTTGTACCTCGTGAACTCGCCCTTGTAACTGTAGATGCTGAGGAACCCACGTTGGACCTTGATATTGGTTTTCCCAAGTGACTGAAGACTTGTTTTGAGGTTGGTGTATCACTCAGTCGGAGCCACAGTGCCCCGCCATGCCACGAGGATATCTCTCCTCCCGATTCTTGTGGTTTCGGCATCACCACTGACTGCAACGTATCCCATCCAGTTGGAATCTTTGCTCCATGTGCAGTAAGTCCTCTCAAACCATTCGGGAACATCAACATGGGA